ATGAAATAGACTTACAAGTCCATGAAGCGCACAGAATCCCAAACAAAAGGAACCCAAAGAGGACCACACCAAGACACATCATAATTAAAATTCCAAGAGCAAAAGACAAAGAATATTAAAAGCAGCAAGAGCAAAGCAGGTAGTTATCTATAAAGGCGCACCCATATAATTGTCAGATGATTTCTCAACAGAAATCATTCAGGCCAGACAGGAATGGCAAGAAATGTTCAAGATGATGAATAGCAAGAACCTACAGCCAAAAATACTCTACCCAGCAAAGCTATCACTCCCAATCGAAGTCCAGATAAAGAGCTTCACAAATAAAAAAAAAGCTAAAGGAATTCACCACCACCAAACCAGAATTACAGTGGTGCCTCACACAACGAACTTAATTCGTTCCAGGAGCAAGTTTGTTATGCGAAAAGTTCGTTATGTGAAACGTGTTTTCCCATAACAATACATGTTAAAAAAAATAATTTGTTCTGTAGCATAAAATATGCTAAGATGACATAAAAAAAGATAAATTTTTTGTTATTATTTTTATTTAGATACACCTAAAAACATAATTTTTTTTTAAAAAAACACATTTTTTTAATTTTAAGACAGACTAAGTAGAGTCTACCGAATCTTGCACATCTTCATCCATTTTCTGCTTTTTGGCCGATAGTTTCATGAAAAACCTGTCCAAAGTCGTTTGTTTTTCTCTTTTCTCCAACATCTGCCGGAAATAACGGACAAGAGTATCGGAGTAAAGATCGTTGATCCTGTTTGCTTCAGCTGAATCCGGATAGTGGGCATTGGTAAACTCCTGAACTGCTTTCCATTTGACCAAGATGTTCTTGATGTCAGCAGTTGGGATTGGTTGATTGTTTGATTGTTGCTCCTCGTTATCAGATGACGCTTCCCTTTGAGCATTGTCCTGTTGCTGGACCAGAAGTGCTTGGAGCTCTTCAGTTGTCAGCTCTTCTTCGTGTTCCTCAATAAGCTCCTCTACATCCTCTTCCTCTACCTCTAATTCCAACCTTTGGGCCACTGTGATGATGTCCTTCACCACTTCTGTGTCATCAACTACTGCTTCTTCCTGGGTCCACGAAGGCACAAGCATCTTCCAAGCAGAAATGAGGGTCCTTTGTGACACTTCTTCCCAGGCCTTCTGTATAAGTCGTATTGCCATAAGGACATCAAATTTCTCCTTCCAAAACTTTCGGACAGTCATATTGTCTCCACCAAACTCGCATTCTTCAAACACCTTATTAAAGAGGGCTCTAGTGTAGAGTTTTTTAAAGTTCGCAATAACTTGCTGATCCATTGGCTGAAGAATGGATGTGGTGTTTGGTGGAAGCTCGGGCGACTTCGTTGTGTGAAACGAAGTTCGTTGTATGAATCATGAAATGAAGTTCGTTGTGTGCAGCGTTCGCTGTGCGAGGCATTCTTTATGCGAGGCACCACTGTATATGAATTGCTGAAGGGGGTTCTTTAGGAAGAGGGAGAAAATAAAGGTAAAAATTATGAACAACAAATATGTAACTATCAACAACAAGTGAAACTAAAAACCAAGGGAATTAAAAAACCTGATGAACAATATTAACTGTTGAATAGGATCAGAGATATGGAAAGGGAGTGGACTGATGATTCTTGGGGAAAAGAGGAGTGGGGGGTGTGGGAAGAGACATCATAAACTGTGCATCTATAGATGAGGACAATGGGGAGTGGGGAAAGGGCAGAGGGTGAGGTGGGAACCTGGTGGAAGGGAGCAATGGAGGGGAAAAAATGAGGAACTTTTGTAATAATATGAACAATAAAGATTTAAAAAAAAAAAAAAAAGCTGTGGTACATTTATACCATGGAATACGATGCAGCAGTAAAAAACAGAAGAATCTCTTACTCTTTGAGATAGCATGGAGGCACCTGAAGCAAATCATGCTAAGTGAAATAAGTCAGTCTGAGAAAGACAAGTACCACATGATTTCACTCACATGTGTAATCTAAGTAACAAAATAAACTGATGAGCCCTAGCCAGTCTGGCTCAGTGGATAGAGCTTCAGCCTGCAGACCAAAGGGTCCTGGGTTCAATTCAGACCAAGGACATGCACCTTGATTGCAGACTCCTCGCCAGCCCGGGCCCTGGTCAAGGCTTGTGCAGGAGGCAACAAATGAATGTGTTTCTCTCACATCAATGTTTCTTTCCCACTCTCCCTAAAAATCAATGGAAAATGTATCCTTGGGTGAGGATTAACAAAATGAATAAATAAATTAAAAATATAGTGATGAAGGGAGTGGATCTAGAGATCCGGAAGCATGGAACAGTGAGGAATCTCAGAGGAAAGGTGGGATGGGGGGTAGGGTAAGTGGGAGGGAGGTCATCAACCAAAGACCTTGTATGTATATATGTATAACGCATGGAAACAGACAGGAGGGTGGTGAAGGCCTGGGGTGAAGGGTGGTGGCAAGCTAGAGGGGGTTAATGGGGGATAAAAGGGGACATGTAATACTTTCAACAATAAAGAATTACTTTAAAAATTAATTTAAAAAATTGTATTTAATATCAGCTCTGCCATTAATTGTATAATCTCAGATAGTTCCCTGAGCCTCTTAGGATCAGTTTTCTCATCCATAGCTCTTCTATGACAAATATTGCCTTGTTTATAACAAAATAAGCTACATTGATAAGCTAATACTGTTATTGCTGAAGCATTAAGAGTACGGGGTATTGGTATTTGAGTTAACAGGCAGACCAAAATATTCTATATAATAAAAGCCCAAGTGGCGTCACGCCTTCGTGCGATGTCACAAGGTGGCTGCCACAAGGTTGCGTCCACATGCACAACAGAGGTGGGACCCACCAGCTGCTCTTCAAAGAGGAGGCTGGTCCCGGCATCTCATCCGCCTTGTGCAGAAAAGGCGGGTCCTGGTGTAGGAGGTGGGTCGCTGCAGGGGAGGGCAGTTATGGGCAATCAGGGTGGTAGGGCAGGGTAGTTGTATGTGATCAGGCCAGCAGGGGAATGGTTAGAGGCCGATAAGGCCAGCAGGGGAAGGCAGTTGTGGGTGATCAGGTTGGCAGGGGAAGGCAGTTGTGGGCAATCAGGTTGGCAGGGGAGGGCATTTGGGGGTGATCAGGCTGGCAGAAGAGGGCTTTTGGGGGCAATCAGGCCCTGGCAGGGGAGGGTAGTTATGGGAAATCAGGCCAGCAGGGGAACAGTTAGGCATTAATCAGGCCAGCAGAGAAGTGGTTAGGGGGCAATCGGGCAGGCAGGTAGGCAGAAGCGGTTAGGGGCAATCAAGCAGGCAGGCAAATGAGTAGTTAGGAGCCAGCAGTCCTGGATTGTGAGAGGGATGTCCGACTTCCGGTTAGCAGCAGTTGGACATCCCCTGAAGGGTCCCAGTTTGGAGAGGGTGCAGGCTGGGCTGAGTGACACCCCTCCCGTGAATGAATGCACTGAGCCTTTATATATAAAAGCCTAAGCAACTGTTACTAGTCAACCTGTTGCTATGATGCACACTGACCACCAGGGGGCAGACGCTCGGTGCAGGAGCTGCCCCTTGTTGGTCAGTACATTCCCACAGCCAACCTCCCATGGCCAGCCAACCTCCCGCGGTTCCCCCCTTACTCCTGCTCCTCACCATCAGGCCCTGATTGACCTGGCCTTGATTGGGGTTGGGCGAGATCTCCAGTTGGCCCTGATCACTGGCCTGAACTAGGGACCCCACCCGTGCATAAATTCGTGCACCAGGCTTCCAGTGTAAATACAGAAGGTTAAAATTCCAGTCATGATTCCTTAAGTCTTTCAAGCAAAACCGTGTACGTAAGTAAAAATTGAGTAAGAGTATTGTTAAAATATAAAACGTGATTAAGAGCAAGTCTCAAATCATTTTGAGTTTTAAAAGACTTCTGTGAAATAAAGACTGATAAAAATGTAAAGTTCCTGGTTACATGGAATAGAAGCATAAAACTGGGGTTTCTTGCAATTATGCTAAACGAAATAAGTCTTCTGGGATGACATCAGAAGAGCAACTGAAGTTTTTTTTAGGGAAAATGCTATTTAAGAGGTGAACTACAGGCTGATTACACCATGGGAACAAAAATTAAGTAAATGAAAACTGGAAACCACTATATAAAGGAGTCCTTGCTTAAGAAAAAGAGACTATGCTTAGTTTAGTCTTCAGACATTTTCCCAAAAATTAAAAATCTCTTGATACTAACTTTTAAACACCAAAATTTTTATTACCTATTTCATTACCCTTTTGTTACTCAGCCCAGCCTGCACCCTCTCCAATCCATAAATTTTCTCTGTAAAGAAACAAAGATGCGAAAATATTCAGTTGGATCTTCTTTGCAATCATTAAGAGCAAATAGTTTTTAATATATCAAAAGTATATAGTTTTACCATGGAATACTATGCAGCTCTTACCCGTTGAGATAGCATGGAGGGACCTGTATTATGCTAAGGGAAATAAGCCAGTCAGAGAAAGACAAGTATCACATGATCTCATTCATCTGGAATCTAATGAACAAAATAAACTGTTGAACAAAATAGATCCAGAGGCATAGAAGCATGGGACAGACTATCAAATCTCAGAGGAAAGGTGGGTGGCTGGGAAGAGATCAACCAAAGAACTTGTGTGCATATATGCATAACCCATAGACACAGTCGATAGGGTGGTGGAGGCTCTGGGCAAGGGGCGGGGGCAGGCTATAAAGGGACAGTAGTGGAAAAATACGGGGTCAGTAGTGGAAAAAGGGGACATATGTAATACTTTCAACAATAAAGACTAAAAAAAAACACCAAAGGGACAAGGGAAAAAAGTATGTAGTTTTGTTAAAATACAATTGATTTAGCTTCTTAAATTTGGAGATAAATTTTGCCTTCATAAAAGAAAATTTTTGTGCTTTTTTTTTTTTGTTGTCTTTCTGGATAAAACTTTGTTGTTATTTTTTTTCTGAGCATGATAGTTAATATTTTGGGGATTAAAAAGAATTAATAGTTTTTCTACTTTTATAGTTCTACTTGTCCAATTCTGAAAGGGAACATTATGAAAAAGAATTCAGCCAAGAACGACAACAAGAAATTTTGAGAAGAACAGCGAAGGACTTACCTATCTATACCACCTCAGGCTCAAGGAGTAAGAAAAACAAATTTTAAGCTTTTCTATTAATGAATTTTAAAAAATATGGTCATACCTGCCAAGATTTATTTGCATGATTTGACTATTAAATGGATATTGCAATTTCTCAAATAACATAGGCAGGAACAGATTTTTCTAATGTTCTGTGTCTTCTGTGATATTTTAGATATTGATACAGATTTTTTTAATAGGCTCCCTTTAATATGAGTTTCTTTTTCTCTATATCTTTTTTTTCAACTTCACCTTTATGACTAAAAGTTTCAATTATGATTATTAGTAAACTATCATTTGGAAATTCTGGTTTGAATTTGAATATTATGTGCCATCTCTGTGTAATTAAAAAAAAAAAATCAAGAACATGCTAAATTAGAGTAGAAAGAAGTAAAAGCTAATATTCAGAAAGCCAGAATATGAACTCAGGTTTGTGTGATCCCAAAGCTGTTGGTATTTCCACTGTCCCAATGACTCCATTGAGAGTTATGTGAGTGCATTAGCAGCTTCCTTTTCTCAGAGACAGAACCTTATGATGGGGTGAAACTATGAGTGGCCAGACTGATTATTTAAATATAGTAAATTGTTTTAAATTATCATGTAACTCATGAATTCATTAAATACTAAATAATAGTAATACCTACCAATTATTCTGTTCTAAGTGCTTTGCACCTGTAAACTCATTTAAACTTCACAACAATCCTGTGAAGGTTGTTTCTACAGATTAGGAAACTGAGACACAACGAATTTAAATATCTTTTTCAAGGTCAGATATATGCAAAAAAAAAAAAAAAATGGTTTTAAATTAAAGTCTTTCTCCACTCCAGTGGAAAACAAAAGGCTTTTCCTTGTATTGTTATATACACATTGTGAGTTCAGAAAGTATAAAGTTTGCACGAGTTTTGGAGGGGATATTTGACCAAGTTTTTTGTTTTTTTGATGCACTTAATGCTGTCCTTCTTACATAATCCTAACATAGAAAAACCCTGGGTCTGTCACATCCACAACGACCGGAGGTTCAACCTAACGCCCGACTGTGTGTGCAGCAGCTCTGGTGGGTGGGACTTGTGACAGTGGAGAAGGGGACAGGGAAGGTGTGGCCGGCATTCACACTCACTCACAACCACACACATGCTCAGACACACACAGCATACACCAGCTCACAGCCTTTTCTCCCTTTCTTTCCCTCCCTCCTGGGGCTTGCTCTGGCTCTTGTTCTCACAAACTCTCTCAGAATGAGGAAACAAAACAGATTGGGCCTGAAGAGGCCTGGATATAAGGGAGGGCAGACAGAGGGTAGATCAGCCCCCACTGGCCCCGCCCTCTCCCAGCTGGGAAAGAGGAAGAGGGACACAGAGAGGTAGAAAGGCCTGGAGGACTGCTGAGAAAAACAGAGAGAGACAGAGACTGTCTCTGAGATCAGGCCTGCAGGGGAGAGCTGTTAGGGATGATCAGGTAGGCAGAGACAGTTGCAGGTGAGGTCAGGCTGGCAGGGGAGAGCAGTTGGGAGCAAGATTAGGCCAGCAGGGGAGGGGAGTTAGGGGCTTTCAGGCAGGCAGGCAGAGTTAGTTAGGGGCAATCAGGCAGGCAGGCAGAGGCAGTTAGGGGCAATCAGGCAGGCAGAGAGGTTAGGGGTGATCAGGCAGGCAGGCAGAGGTAGTTAGGGGCAATTAGGCAGGCAGAGAGGTTAGGGGCCAACAGGCAGGCAGGCAGATGAGCAGTTAGGAGCCAGCAGTCCCAGATTGAGAGAGGGATTTCCGACTGACTAAACCAGGAGTCGAACATCCCCAAGGGGTCCCCAATTGGAGAGGATGCAGGCTGGGCTGATGTGACAACCCTCCACCCTACACCCCCTCCACCCTGCATAAATTTCATGCATCAGGCCACTAGTTTAGTATATTACCATATGGAATGAAAACATGGATTTTAGGACAAACCCCAACTTTTCTATTACTAGTACAATGAGAATTAAACTTTCTAAGCCCTAGTTTCCTCATTTTAAAATGAGGATAATATCTGTATCCCTGGGTTAGTGGAAGTATTATATAAGATACATAGATGAGATACACATTTAGTATAGATCTTTGTACATAATGAATTTTCAATATATGATAGCTAATTTAAAATAATCCTTTGTTTAAAAATATTTTTACTGATTTTTAGAGAGAGAAAGGAAAAGAGAGAGAGAGAAACATCGATCAGCTGACTCCCACACATCCCCTACTAGGGATCGAGCCTTTAGGCCAGGGCATGTGTGCTTACCAGGGATAGAACCTTATGGTGCATCCTTATGGTGCATGGACATTGCCCAGTCAACTGAGCTACATCAGCCAGGGCAATCCTTTCTTATATTTAATTATGAAAGTTCTGGTTAACAATAATTCTTAGTAGTTAATAATAATTCTCTGCAGATTAGATGTATTTAACCCAAAGTCCAAGATTTCAGAGAATTTAGGAATCCCTGAGATTTTACACAAAATTTCAAGTAGCCTATTCATAACAAGATCATCTGATTTTCAGAGCAGTACATGTACCCCAAAGAGTTAAGAGCCATGATCTTGTTAAGTAAAATCTTGACTCTTTTTAAGAAAATATATTTTTATTGGTTTTTAGAGTGGAAGGGAGAGGGAGAAGGAAAGAGAGAGAAACATCGGTTTGAGAATGAAACATCGTCCCTGCTGAGGATTAAGCCCACAGCCCATGCATATGCCCTGAGCAGCAATTAAACTGGCAGCCTTTCGGTGCACTGAACAATGCCCAGCCACCTGAACCACACCAGCAAGGGCTAAAATCTTTAGGCTAAAAAAGCTTTACTGCTTTTCATTATATAAAATGGCTGTCCTCTGATCTGAACAGTAGCCTTCATCTGTTGGATACTACGTCAAGATCAGGTCAAGAACTTTATTAGTAATTGTTTAATCCTCAGAACAGTTCTGAGATGGGTGCACTTGTCCCCGTTTTAGAGACGTGAGGCACAGTGAGAGATGCCCAGCATCCCAAGTGGCCAGGCCTGGGACATGTGCTTTATCTTCTGACTGTTGGCAGGTCCTGCTCCGGGGAACCATTTTATACTACATTTCTACTCTTAGAATCCAAAATATTGGGGCTTTTTCTTTTTCTTGCTATAGAAGCAATACCTATTCATCTTTAAAGAATAGAGTTACAGAATACATGTTACAGAAAGTCAACCTTCCATAGACCAGAGATCATTGAAAGTATGGAGCTGCCTTCACAGAGGGGAGTTAGGGTGCTGGGCACCAGAGTGGGGTCTTCTCACTGAATTCCTTTGTGCTTTTTCAAGCTGTGTGGATATATTATTATCTATTCAGGAAACAAAACCTGTCTTTCTAAGCCTTCTCACCTCCTATCTCAATCCACCTAGCAGTTATCTCTAGTTTTGTTCCACACTGTTTCCCTGTTTTAACTCTGCTAGCACAGAGGTAGGATTTTCCTTCCCCACCTTCCCCCCTCCCCCCTTTCAAATTTTTACCTTGTAGACCACATGTGTCAAACACAAGGCCCGCGGGCCAAATCCGTCCCGCCAGGCCTTGCAATGTGGCCCGCACCGCGCTGTCATCACTGCACTCTGCTGCGTTTCCATCACAATGACAGTTTATGACTGTTCAGTAAACCATTCGGCCCGCGATTTAGGCTGGATTTTAGATTTTGGCCCCTTCTCTGATTGAGTTCGACACCCCTATTGTAGACTATAAGTCAAAGGCTTTAGTTATTGATGTTCCTCTCACCTTACTGACGTTAAGCCTCTGGCAGCCAATAGTTCTCCCATGGTTTCTAACAGTGTCTCAATAAATAGTTATCAGGAGATGTCTGTGTAGTGACTCTATTTCTGGGTGTTCTCTTTCATGGCTCTTTGTACTTTATTCATTTATGTATTTATTTATTTTTATTTATTTATTTTAAAAATATATATTTTATTGATTTTTCACAGAGAGGAAGGGAAAAGAATAGAGAGCTAGAAACATCGATGAGAGAGAAACATCCACCAGTTGCCTCCTGCACAACCCCCACCGGGGATGTGCCCACAACCAATGTACATGCCCTTGACTGGAATCAAACCTGGGACGCTTGAGTCCACAGACTGACGCTCTATCCACTGAGCCAAACCGGTTTCGGCAATTTATGTATTTATTTTTGTGCACTTTTTAATCTCCCTGGTTTTCTCTCCTTCACTAATTTTTCTCATCACAGAATTTTACTTTATATTTTATTTAAAATAATATTTATATTATAGTAATAACTGCTTTATTGAGAATTTGCTATGCTCTAGAAGGTTTCATTTTAATGTGTAAACTAGTTCATTATACTTGATATTATTTACATTTACAGAAGAGGCTCTTAGAATGTAAGTTACTGGCCCAAAGTCACCAGCTAGTCAGTGGGCAAACTAATATCAAAACTGATGACAGTTAGTAGTTGTCCATTTCCCCAGTTATTTATATAAGAAATGAAAGCAAATTTTATAGTCAAATTAACTAAACTTGTATATCCTTCAACACCTTTTAATTCTTAAATGTAGCCATCAGATATTGTGAAAGATGTCAGTTGATTAAACCTGACCGGGCGCATCACTGCTCAGCATGTGACATGTAAGTGTTACCCCTCATTTGCTTTCCTTTAACCCCAACATTGGAAATTGGCAATAGGAGAACAGAAGGGAAAGGAACATTTTATATGCTTTATACTTAGCAAAAACACTTCACCATCCCCCATTTTTTGCTACATATGAGGGCTAACATTAATATTTTCATAAGCTAGAATATACTTTGGTGTAATCTGTAATAGTTCCTGTACTGGTTGATGGAATTTCCTTTCTTTTTTTTTAATCCTCACCCAAGGATATATGTTATTAGAGAGAGGAAGGGAAAATGAGAAAGAAATATTGATTGGTTGCCTTCCGTACTAGTCCCAACTGGGGATTATACACACAACCTAGGTATGTGTCCTGACCGGGGTCGAACCCATAAACTTTTGGTGTATGGGATGACATTTCAACCAACTTAGCGACCTAGCTAGGGCTGATGGAGTTTTCTTTAAATATATTTTTTGTTTATGCTTAAGATAATATTGACGAACAAGTAAGTAATAACCCCCTTAAGAATAACTATTTCCTGACCCTAAAGTTAAATTAAAAAGGAAAAGAAAACCTATTACCATCAAAGGGCATTATTTGTGTGTGTTTTTTTGTTTTGTTTTTTAAAGAGTAACTATTTCCTGGATTAAAATGTCAATTTCTTTTTTTATTATAAATATTGATATTAAAACTTAAGAAGCCACACACACACAAAAAATATTTCTTTAATTTTCATCTGTAACATTGTTCCCAGAAAAAACTTAAAAGATTTTATTCCTGTGTGCTTGTGAAAAGGTAATGTGTTGGAAGGAAAGATCCCCAGTTTGGGAACCCCAGTTAATTCTTGAACTTAAGTTAGACAAGCTATTTAATCTTCTTGAACTTAAGTTAGACAAGCTATTTAACCTTTACTTTATTATTTATTATGTTAATGGAGATGATCTGTGGTCTGATTTTATAAATATACAAGAGGCCTGGTGCATGGATTTGTGGTACCAGTGGGGTCCCTTGGCCTGGCCTGCGGACATCCCCTGAGGGGTCCCAGATTGTGACCCCACTGGTGCACATTCAGGGCTGGGGAGGACTATGGGAGGGCTCCAGGGCATGTCCAGCCCATCTTGCCCAGTCCTGATTGCCTGGACCCCAGCAGCAAGCTAACCTACCGGTTGGAGCGTCTGCCCCCTGGTGATCAGTGTCCATCATAGTTGTTGGTCAAACGGTCGAATGGTCACTTAGGCTTTTATATAGAGAGATAGATTACATATTATGGCGAGGAGGCAAACTGGGATTTTTTTTTTTCTGATTATAAAAATACTAGAGGCCTGGTGTATGAGTTCATGCATGGATGGGGTCCCTTGGCCTGGTTGGCAATTGGGACTGATCAGGGTCACAGGAGGTTGGCTGGGGGAGGGGCCATGGGAGGTTTCGATCTGGGTCATTAGGGCCAGCCAGCTGGGGGGAGGGGCTGTAGGAGGTTCTGATCGAGGCCATCAGGAGCCAGCTGGCTGTGGGGAGGGACTGCTGGAGGTTGGCCAGCTGCAGGAGGTTGGCTATAAGAGCATACTGACCACCAGGGGGCAGCTCCTGCATTGCACATCTGCCCCCTGGTGGTCAGTGCACATCATAGCGACTGGTCGATCGGTCGTTTGGTCACTTAAGCTTTTATATATATAGATAGTAATGCTTATCTATGGATATAATTTTATAAAATACTAGAGGCTCTGTGCATGAAATTTGTGCATGGGTAGGGTCCCTAGGCCTGGCTGGCGATCAGGGCCAATCTGTGGGACAACTGGTGGCAAAGGGGTCCCCCACTGACACCCGCCTTGGCTGGCCTGGGGCTGCCTGCTCACTGGCCATGGCCCCACCACCATCAGTCGGTGCCTGCAGGCTGGGGACAGCTCCTGCATTGAGTGTCTGCCCCCTGGTGGTCAGTGCACATCATAGTGGCCTTTCGGTCGATTTGCATATTAGGCTTTTCTTATATAAAATGTGGAAAAGATAACCACATATAAGACCATCAGTGTTAATATTTTAGAAACAAAGTCTTTTTATGACTTGTACATGTTTAAAGCAGGGATTGTCTGTATTTAATTTCATTTCCCTTAGCTGATTTGTGAGTTGGACTAGCTAATGTACCAAGTGCACCATATATGTGTGTTAAAATGTCTCTTAATGTGGTCCAAGGCAAAAATCTATTACCTTTTACCTATGAAGGTATTGGTGGAAATATCAGAAAATTTCTCTAATCGAATGCTTACTTGGTTAGTTTTTCTAAGTTGTATTTGTAAAGAGAAAAATTTAAGGGAAAAAATTATCAACAATAAGAATTATGTTTATTTGTTTTTTAGATGTATTCTAAAGATGGATCATCACTGTCCTTGGTATGTATAAGCATAGAGGAAGTAATATATAAAGGTGCAGAGGGGGAGAAGTTGAAAAAATTTTTAAGATTAACTTAATTACTTATATACATTAAGCTTGATCTATTTATATACATGTTTATATTAAAAGTTTTCCTTTAGAAATATATTCTGGTATTATTAATCAAGTAATTATATATTAAGAATTAATATTAAATTTCCAAGTTCCTTATAGAATTTATTAAAAACACACATTCACAATTAAGACATTGCTCCCTATTTTCCAAATGACCCATTTCCTAGTAATAATGATTAAGTTTTTTTGAAATGTCTTATTTATTATTATGGTTAAAAACAACAACATAACTCTAACTGGTTTGGCTTAGCTGATAGCATGTCTGCCTGTATACTGAAGGGTCCAAGGTTCAATTCTGGTCAAGGGCATATACCTTGGTTGCAGGCACATCCCCAGTAAGGGGTGTGCAGGAGGCAGCTGATCGATGTTTCTCTCTCATCTGTAAAAAATATGTAAAATATATTGAAAACAACAACAACATACAATTTATAATACCATCTTAACCATTTCTAAGTTCAGTTTAGTAATGTAAAGTATGTTCACATTGTCCAACTAGTCTTCAGAACTTTTTCATCTTGCAAAACCTAAAGTCTATACCCGTTAATCAGCTTCTCATTTCCCCTCCCTCAGCCCCTGGCAAACATTCTAGTTTTTGTTTCTGTGAGTTTATAATTTGTCTTATATTACAGTGTGACCTTCTTTATTCTTCTAGGGTGAATAACTGTGTGGGATTTTCTAATTACAAATTCTTCCTGCTGTTTTTATTGTATTCCCTATTATATTGCCTGTTTGTGGCTACAACAGTTTTGCAGTACTTTATAAAATTTTGGACGGTAAGTCTTTTTCTATCATAAAACATGTGTAAGACTTTTTAAAATGCTCTATTCATAAATAATTTATTATTATAGGTAGATATACTTTATTTTAATTTTACTAGTTAGAATTTTTAATGGGCAAACGGTAATATTTTCCTAAAAATATACATATTTATTTTAAATAAATGAATATTAAACAGGATGTAGTGAGCTTCGTTTTAGTGATCCAAGCTGTTTTCAGCCACACTCTTAATAGTGGACATAACAATTTTAGGGAAATAATTGCTTTTATTTGAGTTGATGAGACTTACTACGATTTTATAGTAATAAAACTGATATTCTCAAGCTTAGATAATCACTAATCTCTTTCTAATCTGTATAGACATTAATCCTTTTTCTATCATGACTTTTGATTTTTTTTTAATATATCTTATTGATTTTGTACAGAGAGGAAGGGAGAGAGATAAAGTTAGAAACATCGATGAGAGAGAGTCATCGATCAGCTGCCTCTTGCACACCCCCTACTGGGGATATGCCTGCAACCAAGGTACATGCCCTTGACCGGAATCGAACCCGGGACCTTTCAGTCCCCAAGCCGACGCTCTATCCATTGAGCCAAACCAGTTTCGGCGACTTTTGAATTTTTTATCCACATTTTCATTTTATATTTTACTAGAGGCCCAGTGCATGGATTCGTGCACATTGAAAGGAAGTTAACTAGAAGAAATATTTTAGAGGTTGGAGAGGGACCATGGGAGAGCTCCACGGCATGTCCAGCCCATCTTGTCTAGTCCTGATCTGCCAGACCCCAGCAGCAAGCTAACATACCTACCCTGTTTCCCCAAAAATAAGACAGTGTCTTATCTTAATTTTTGCTCCCAAAGTTGCGCTAGGTCTTATTTTCAGGGGATGTCTTATTTTCCCAAGAAGAAGAATATAGTACACATTTATTGTTAAATGAAAAGAAAGGAAATTACCTGTATACGGTACAGTAGTACGGTAGTTGTCAACACAAACCAGACAAACTGTGAATCCTACAGTATCAAGAATTTACTCATTTTTTTCAATGACAATCATATCATCTTCTGGAACATCATCATAACAATCCAATTCCTGAATTTCCTGGTGAATTTCTTGTGACTCCATTTCTTTCAGAATCAGTGGACCAAACCTCTCATGTTTAGCCTGGGGGGGGGGCCCTTATTTTTGGGGGGAGGCCTTATATTTCACTCAGAAGGAAACCTATAAGTAGGTCTTATTTTCGGAGGATGTCTTATTTTCGGGGAAACATGGTATCAAAGTGTCAGCCCCCTGGTGGTCAGTACATGTCAAGTAACTGGTTGAACAGTCGAATCGTAGGACACTTAGAATATTATATATATATTTATCCCTGTTCTATTTTTATTAAATCAAAGTTTTACATTTTAAAGCAGTACTTTTTTAATGACTTTAAGGTGTTGTGTTGTTTGTTTTGTTTTGTTTTTTAATTTAAAAGCAATACTTTGTATTTATGATTCCTGGCTTTAGTTTGTTTGCTATAAATTTCTTCTGGAATTTTTATTGTTTGTGTTTTCACATTTAATCCTTTGATTTTGAAAGGGAGAGTTCTTGTGGTTAAAAAGTACTTTTGGCCCTGGACTGTATTACTCAATGGTTAGAATGTTGGCCCATGCATCAAAGGGTCATGGGTTCGATTTCGGTCAGGGTATGTATCTGAGTTGCAGGTTCAATCCCCAACCTCTTTCTGGGTACTTGGAGGAGCCAGCCAGTCAGTGTATCTCACATTGATGTTTCTCTCTCCCCCTCTCTTTCCCCTCCCTCCCTTCCACTCTCTGCAAAGCAATGGGGAAAATAGCCTCAAGTGAGCATTTTTTTAAAAAATACTTTTGGAATTTATTCTTTCTAAAAACCCTCTGAAGGTGCTTTAAAATATAGGTTTTGTTATTATTCATATATGTTGAAGCCAACAGATAAGGAAGTAATTACCATTGAAAGGATAGTTTGTCACTCACAGTTCCCAAGGGAGAAGATATGCCATATCATGCTACTCCACACAGAGCCACACCGGAAGCACTGTGGTCATATAATAAGCAGAAGGGGCAAGCCCAGAGCCTTTATTGTGGCTTCTGCAGGAAAGGTTGCGCATTGGAGGGCACAGGGATTTATAATTGGGCAGTTTGAGTAATTCGGTACTCTCTGGGCATACAGGCTGTTCCTGGTTATCTGATATTTAACTCCTACACACTAGGAGGTGAATATTGCCTCCTAGAGTGTAAGAGTCAGGCAGAAGGGGTGTTTTGGAATTTGGGCTCTGAATTTGTTTTGTTTATGAGAGATACATTCCTTGCTATCTCCTAATAATTGGATAGCCCTGAGAGTGGCAGTCTCTTCCCAGTCAGCCCCAGATATCAGAGCATCAAGAACATAGGAAATAAGAAAGTATACTTAATGCAGAGTAGCTATTATTATTATTCCAATTTTCAGAGTTGGAAAAGGAGGATAGAGAAGTTAGATAACTACCCAAGGTCACATACTTAATAGTATTGGAAGCCAGAATTTTAACTGACATTTGTCTATTTCAACATACAGATACTTACCACTATGACTTGCTATTCATAATCATAGTTGGGAAGAACTTAATTAAAGCCTCAAGTCATAAAATGTGCGACACCAGCACAGCCAAGAGTTCAACAAGCCTGAGGGAGGGCGGTGACGGATGTAGAAAAGACAGACAAAAAGAATAAGCTGGGTCTAGGTGGGTCTTCCTGTGCCTGGCTGAGACCACAGAAACGATCCAGATTTTACAGTCAGAAGTACACAAGGTAGTGGTCACCAAGTTACAGTGTTCTTGTGAATTTCACTTGTTTTGGCAGCACATGCACCTCCCACAGCCCATTAGCTGCCCAGGGAAGATCTAGGGAGTCACAGAATCAGGCTTAATTATGCTCAGAGGGCTGTGCCCTCTAAGCTGGGACTGGTTTGTGGCTTTGCCAACAGGTCAGTCCACAGCTTAACCCTATAACCGCTCCCTACAATAAAACAGTTATTTTTTTCATGAAATACTTAATACATTTTGGAAGGATTTTGTTTAAAACACCATTAGATGTTTAAAATTTGGGTATTTAAAACCAGGGGATGCTGGCATTGCCTTTGAGCATGTTAGAAAAAAGTACCCCATATCTATGTGGTCTTACCTTAATGATTTGGTCCTCTATTATTTCCCTACCTTGGTATCTTTGTTCAGTTTATAACCTATTTAATCATACTCAATGGCCCTTTTACAGGAAAAGGATTCAGTACCAGATGAATGAAGTCCAAATTATAGAAATTCACATTTCTTTATGAGAAACTTCAGCACTGTGGCATGTAATGATTTATTAATTAAGGAATATTAACTTTTAGATTAATCATGTTAAGAAAGTCTAGTAAACTTAAATCTACCATTTTCTTCATTTGTTCAACAAATATTTACTTACCACCTATACTAGTAATGTACCAGGTAGTATTCTAGGCACTTGGGATATATCAGTGAACAAAACAAAAGAGTAATGTCTTTGGAAGGAGGAATCAAATAACAAACGTAATAAATAAGTAAATTGTATATTAGAAAGTAAATGCTGTTAAGAAAATAAAACTAGGGTAAGGGATTTGGCAAGTGTATGAGAGTGGGTAGAGTAGGTGTAGTTTGCAGCATTACAGAGAGTGAACAGGTATACCTCAGTAAGAAATTTTGAGGAAAGACTTTAAGTTAGTGGATATCTGAGAGAAGTAGATACATTTATGCATACAATACAGGAGCACCTATATAAAGCAAATATTATATTAACAGACTTAAAAAGGAGATATAGCCTGGCTGGTGTTGTGCAGTGATTGAGTGTTGACCTATGAACCAGGAGGTCACAATTCCATTCCAGGTCAGGGCACTTGTCCATGTTGCAGGCTCAATCCCCAGTAGGGGGTGTGCAGGAGGCAGCCAATTGATGATTTTCTCTCATCATTGATATTTCTATCTTCTATCTCCCTCTCTCTGAAATTATATATATATATATATATATATATATATGTTCATATTTATATAATTTTATTTTATTTTTAAAAATATATTTAATTGATTTTTTACAGAGAGGAAGAGAGGGATAGAGAGTTAGAAACATCGATGAGAGAGAATCATTGATCAGCTACCTCTTGCACACCCCCTACTGGGGATGTGCCCGCAACCAAGGTACAGGCCCTTGACCAGAATCAAACCTGGGACCTTTCAGTCCGCAGGCCGACGCTCTACCCACTGAGCCAAACCAGTTTCGGCTATGTATATATTTTAAATGAGATATAGACAGCAATACAATTATAGTAGGGGGCTTTAATCTCCCACTTTAATCAGTGGATAGATCATCCAAACAAAAAATCAATAAAGAAACATCTACCTCATCTTAGCTGGTTTGGCTCAGTGGATAGAGCATCAGCCTCTGGACTGAAGGGTCCTGGGTTTAATTCTAGTCAAGGGTTGCAGGCTCAATCCCCAATAGAGGGGGCATGCAGAAGGTAGCCAATCAAAGATTCTCATCATTGATGTTTCTCTTTCTCCCTCTCCCAAATCATTAAAAATAAGTTTAAAAAAATATGTTTGAAAAAAAATAAAGAAAGAAACCTCTACACCAAATGACACATTAGTCCATGTGTACTCAACAAATATGTAGTGAACACTCCATAAAAAAAAAAACAGAATATACATTCTTAAGCACCCATGGAACATTCTCATCACAGGATACATCTTTTTTAGTAAAAAAAGCAAGTCTTAAGAAATTTAAGAAGATTGAAATCATACAAAGCATCTTTTCCAACCACAATAGTATGAAACTAGAAGTCATTTATAAGAACACAACTGGGAAATTAACAAGTAAATGTACATTAAATGGTACTGAACAACCAATGGATCAAAGAACATATCAAAAAATATCTTGGGACAAATGAAAATGGAAGTAAAACACACCAAAGCTTACAGAATGCAGCAAAAACAG